TGCACGGGCGCGGCGCGCCCCGCATAGGGGCGGGGCCCAGACGGGGGCGGGGCTTGCGGCGGTGCACAGGCGCGGCGCGCTCCGCATAGGGGCGGGGCCGAGACTGGAGGGCGGGGCTTCCGCTGGTGCACGTACGAAGCGCGCTCCGCATAGGGGCGGGGCCGAGACAGGGGGCGGGACTTTGCGCTGGTGCACGGGAGCCGCGCGCTCCGCATAGGGGCAGGACCGAGAGAGGGGGCGGGGCGCTCCGCATGGGGGCGTGGCCGAGGCAGGGGGCGGGACTTTGCGCTGGTGCCTCGGGCGAGAGGCGCGCTCCGCATAGGGCGGGGCCGAGAGAGAGGGGGCGGGGCCTCGGCGGCGCACGCGCGCGGCGCGCCCTGCGGAGCGGTTGGGCGGGACGGGCCTAGGCGGAGCGTCTGTGGCGAGCGCGAGCGCGGGTGGCGCGCGCGCTTCCTGAGCGGCGCGCCCGGAGTCGCGCCCTCGCCTCCTCAGGCGGCGTCTCCCTGAAGGCCGCTCCTCCGAGCGGGCGGAGCTGGGGCGGGCCACTGCCCGCGTTTCGGTGGCCGGCTGCTGCCGAGCGCCCCGTGGCATCTGTGCAGAATGAGCACTGTGGTCGGCCTGGTGGTTTCTAGGCAAACCATGGTTACCGGGATAGAGGAGCTGCTGCTTAGCAACGCTGTCACACCGCCGTGGAGAGGCCGCGTGCTTTGGTTTTTCCAAAAACTGCATTTTAGTGCCTTTCACCCGTAGAAACTCCGAGAGCACTGATAGCCACCTGGGGGGCTGTCTCTTCTAGAACTCTCCAGGCATGTCTGCGTGTGTGTGTGTGTGTGTGTTTGCTGCGTTTCTTTTCAGAGTTTTTGTTTGTTGTTAGGACATTAAAGACTTTAATGAAGTCATATTTTGGGGGGAAAGTAAAAAAAAATGATAAAATATATATTAAGAACATTAAGGACTCGGTCTAATGCAAACAATGCATTTTCGTATTGTAATAGTGTAATAATGTGAACAACCCAGTAGGTTTTTAGCATTCTGGCAGTTTAATGATAGGTGTACTCATCACTTGGTGTAAGGGGTAGAGTGTGAGCACTTGCCTCGCTGCCCGCCCTTTTCCTCCTTTTTCCTCTCTTTTTTCCTCTTCAAAACTGAGCACCCCCCAAATGCCTCTTTTCGGGGAGCACAGGCCACAGGGGCGTCTGTGGTCTGTGCTTTTCCAGGGTGCACCCCCAAAATCTTGGCTTCATCAACCTCCATGGACTGAGCTCTTGGCCTCACTCACAGATTTTTGGGGGTTTTATTTTGGGGGGGTGGAGGGAGAGGAAGATGGAGGGAATGCGGGTAATTTTTGAGGGGTAACCAATGACTCTTCGGATGACCCCTGAGAGCTATATACATAAGTGGCTTGTAAAGGGTTCCTTTGCAAGTGGGAGGGGTCCTGCTAGGTAGAGAGAGGGAGGAAAGTGGGTGCTGTTGCCCCAACTTGGCCCTGCCACACCTTAACTCTCCATACCTGGGTGGGGGGGAGGGACTAGCCTACCAATCGGCCAATCAGAACTCGGCCCGCCAGCTGCAAAAAGCATGCAGAGGACTCTCTAGCCCACCGGCACAGGTGCCATAGAGTCTGGAAATTGACCTAGAACCACCTGCAAGACTCAGGTCATGTGACTCCCAACTGTTTTTTTTTTTGTTTGTTTTTTTTTTCTTTCTTTTTCCCCAGGCTGCATCCTCAGAGGCCTGGCTCGGTGAACCTGCATGGATTGAGATGTTTGCCTCAGTCATTTATCTGGGTTGACAACCGGCGACCAAACAAGAGGGGACCTCCGAGAAGACTTTGGCTTTGTTTAACCTGTGGTGACAGGTCACCAAACAGGCCTTTGGGTACACCACTCGAGAACAACTTGCTGGCGTCCAGGCTCCCTCTCTCACAGGGACATTCTACCGTCCTGGCCACCACAATGAGAGTGAGGGCTTTGAGGTTTGAATTTTGACGCCCCAGCCCATCGACCACCCCCCTCGCTCACCGGCCGCGGACCGACCGTCTCGCCCTCCTTCTCCATCAGGAAAGGCCAGCACCGCACCACCCTCGCGCCACCACCGGCACGCGTCCCGCCGCCACCCAGCAGGCTCGCCTTGGGCCCCCCCCTTCACCTAG